TGCTAAATTCAATCAATTTTCTTTATTCTTTGGAATTTTCGTCAAACATATTCTTCTTCCATTCATTTTTTTTCCTAAAAGGAATGATCCGTGCAAAGCACGGCCCTTTTCCTAGTTACCATCAATAAGCACCATGACACAAAAAAAATGTTATAATATTAACACCATATAAATTTTTGTCTCCAACGGCACACCAAAACATCATATCAAAAAACATAAATTTAATATTTTCATCATAAAAAACATATTTTTTAAAGATAAGTTACTTTAATTTCATCTTCTTGACAAGTGTTTATTATTAATATTCATTAAAATTAAAATAAACAAAATCTAATAATCATACATGTTCAGAATTGTTATATTTATCATATCTTTCTATTTTTGTATTAAAAATAATAAATTAGACTTAATACTGAACGATTGGTTTCTTATTTTTTTAATTAAAAGATTAGGACAATACAAAAATCTTGATTATAATATCCAAATAATATATAATATAAAGCAAAATAGAAAACAAGAAATATATAGGGCGTGTTCGGCACGATGCGTTTGAGAGCTTCTAGCTTCTAGTTTTTGACAAAACGTTCCGTTTTGAACAAAAAGTTTCGTTCGGCACTACAAGTTTTTAGCGTTTAGTTTAAATAAAACGTTGCAAATCCAAATGCTACTTCATGTAGCGTTTAACAAAACGCTACAAGCTACAAGTTACCCGCTACGTAGGCAGTTATAGCGGTCCAAAATCAAATATCGGTAAAGGGCGGATATTTGAGATATAGGTTATCGCGGTGGGATATCGGTGGGATATCAGTATTTTTATATCATGTGTTGATTCTATGGGTTGCGCCATTGAGCTTCTCTATTTTAGTCCAATGTATTCACGGTTTTGGCCTGTCCAACAGTGTATTTGTTTTTAAGGTTTAGTATTTATGGTGCATGCATGCATCACATTAGATAAGGGTCTTGAATATTTCTTTGATTATACTGTAACCCTGGTAAATCAGAATGAAAATGAAAATACTCACTGTATGATTTGAAATGGGCTAATTACGTACACGGACATTCTGAAAAAGGAAAGGAGTTGGAAGTAAGTTTTTTATGGTGAATTAAAACTCTTTCTTCTTGCATATTTTAGATTACAATTTCTTCTAATATGTGCTTTTCAATTGCGTGTTTCTTTGAACTGTAGGGAACCCTAGAGGATACATATTCTTTGTATAAACAAATCATTCTAACCGAAAAGGGAAAAGGTACCAATTTATTGCATCCTTTACTTTTTTTTATTTTCCTTTTTTTTAGTATATTTTCATAGCCACCCACTTCTATTGGATAACTGATGGACCCCCCTTTTTATGATCTTTAGTGCTATGAGGGGGGTTTGTTTATTAAGGGGCAAGTGAATCTGGATCGAAACTACTGGAGTTTGGAGTAAGGTTCAAAGGCTGCAAGCAAAGTACTCTCGCAAAACCAAAATCACAAATCTTCAGTTTGCAATCCGCATTCCCTAATATATTTTTCGGCTTTAAATCTCGCTGAAAAACATCTGCTGCATAAGATAATAACTAAATTTAATATTAGTAATCAAAACAGACAAATATACAAATTACAGTTATTCTAGATCACTGTTATTTTTGCCACATAACTTTTAATTATAATAACTAAATTTTATATATTAAAGCGCATGGAAAGGATTAACAGTGATCTTTTGGACTTTTAATTTTTGCGACATAACTTTTGACTCATTCTGATATTGGCCACAAAAGTTTGAGTCATTCAGATATTGATCACACAGGTTTACTTTAGTCCCTGGCCTTCGCCGACTTTATCCACCGCCATCGACTTAATTGTCTTCATCCTTCCAGTCTCTTCTCTTATTCACCATCTCCTCCACCGACTTTCACCACCAGCATCGCCCTGTTCGAGTCAGGCTTAAAACCACCTCACTGTCGATTGTATCCTCCGTTCATCTCCATCTTCTTCAAATCCTCGATTAGGGCTTCTCTTCACCTTGATCCTCCGTTGCTTCTAACTCTTGGGAGACGTTTTTGTCTTCCCGGACTGCTCACGGAACTGCTTTGGTGATCGCCGGAGAAGGAGGCGATAGCAAACAACCGTCTGATATCCACAACCGTAGCAAAATCTCAATCGAAGAAACTTAAGGTTTCTTGCTTTCTTCCCCACTTCACCACACCTTCTATTTCAATATCCATGTTTTCTTATGGCTTCACTTGAACCTGATGCTTTAATTATTTTGATTTTGTTGGTGATAACAGGGGCTTATACATATTATCGGACCTGTGGAGGGAAAAGCAGTCGAATGTGATGAGAGGGTTCGTCTTCATCTAGCTTCTCCCTCTCGGTTCTTCCTGCTTCCATGAAAATATATTTTTTGTTTGAAATTTATGATATCAGATAAACACTGCCTCTACACCATGTATCCTAATCGATTTGTCACTCACATATGACAACATCAAAACAGTTATTCAATTCAATTATATCCTTTTTTTTTAATTCAATTATGCCTTCCTGTTTCGAGTTGGTGTTTCCTTCTTTTCGTCATCCTTCAAATAAATCGTTTTTTTTAATTAGGAAACATGGATTCATACTCCAATGATCAACCAAATAAAAAGGTTGGTATTATCTATGGTGTTATTAGCGGTCTCAATAAGCCTTATATTCATTCAATATGACATTTTTTTTAATCTAATAATACATGTTAGGTTGATCTGGTAATGAAAGCAATTATCTAATCTGTCAGCATAGTATTGAGATAGTTTTGTAATTGATTTTGATTGAAACTTTTTTTTTCTTTTCTGATTTTTATGACTGATGGCCGATGTCTTCTATAGGGGATTTAGACCGGAAACTAAAGCTGGTCTATATACAATAGGTTGTAAAAATAGAGGGAATCATGGATAGCATGTCAATGGGTTTTGAGATTGGCCAATCTGGTCGTGGCTGTTACAGAGTAAAAATAGAGGTAAATTTAACGTTTATACATTACATTAAAACTATAAACATGGGTATGGAGAAGAACAAGGAGTCACAAACATGAAACTTGAACAATTCTGACGGGATTGGATATTTGGATTCCGTCCACCTACCAGCCAAACATGGTATTTGGGTTATGCAACTTGATCTCAACCCCAATGGTTGTAGTGGCAATATGGTAAAACTCTCACAATCTCAACACACATACTATCCACAACAAAAAAATGCAAGTACATTGTTGTTACTTACATTATACTTTCATTATACTATGTTATATATTATCTAAGGACTGGTCTGAAATGCAGGTCCATGGTTTACAAAGCTATAAGCTAAAGTTACCAAATTCCACTTACTGATCATTACAAACAGTTGATTTAAAAGAGTATTTTAGACAATAAGAACTTTGAAGAAGAAGTTGAAAAAGTAAATCTTAAAATTGAAGGTGATATTTTATTCCATTGCTACTCAAAATTCCTTATTTAGCATACCATATATAAAATCCGTCTAATATGAAAATGCATATTAACATTTTCCTTACTTTTTTTATACAACATGTGACTCTAAGCATCACAAAATAGTAAAATGTTGATGTTACTCTTTTATACTTCAGATATATTCTCAATTTGTGACATGGTAAATTTAACTTTTGAAAGTCAAAATAGTACATTCTTCACTCTTAAAAAAAATACAATGACTATTTTTGACTTTTTAAGCATATTTTAATCGTTAGTCACTTTCACTGTAGCACATGATTGACTGACTGACGGCAAACTGGTCATTTTATATGCTCTTTTTTCGTATACCATGTCGAATAAACTTACAACACGGAAGGAGCCTTTACAAGTAGGGGTACAAACTTGGAAAGATGAACATTGCGGCTTAGGCAAATAAAGAGGACACGGAAAAGAATTTTGGCTGATGAGGCCTTGAGAGTTGACTTTGAGAAATGGGTGGTTGGGTGGGAAGATCACAACAGTAAAACACTCATCTACTATTATTTGTTTCATCTACTATTATTTGTTTATTAATGTTATTTCACCTTTTACATATATTTTATAAACATTATTTATGATTTGTGTTCAGATTTATACACAAACAGATTAAAATTCAAGCTGGGAAAGTCATCACAAACCGAACCTTAAAGCAAAAATAAGAAGAATAGAGGTGAATTTGATTGCATGTTCAAATTTACGATAATATTAATTCCTTTGGCCTTTGATTTTCATCACCGAACAATTGTTGTTACTTGCCAACCAAATGCATGACAAAATTCACTTCATATTCCAAACCCTATAAATGTTTAACATTTTTTTTAATAATTTGAAATGAGTTACTTGCATTATTTATTAATGATAACGATAATGGGCCAATTTTTTTGAAAAAATGTAAAAAATTTCCAACCCATGCGAAACATGGTTCTTATGGTTCTTTTCCTAGTTTATATTATTATTTAATCATAATTTGGGACCCCCTCCTTCCCATTTTACAGTTTAAGCCTAACCCACCCTCTGTCGTCGACCACCACCATCTACACCTCTTGCTGGAAACAAATAAACCTGTTTCGATGTTGTTCCGATGCTCAACACCCTTGGATGCCCAGAAAAATCATGCCCGGAAACAAACCAAACACCAAATCAAAATAAACCAAACAAATCACAACATGTATTCTAATTTGGAATTTCAGAGGACTATAACTCTGTTCTTTTTGAATTTAGAACACAAAAATCAAACATCAAAAGTCAAAATTGAGCAGAATAATTGAACACAAATCGTACCCAAGCATCGATCTGCAGAACTAGTGTTTTTACACACAAAAACATTCACAAAATCACACCATATCTATGATTTCTCAGAAGCCAAACCCCCATCAAGAAATGAAAACCCATAAATTAAGGGTTGTGTGTGTGTGAGAGAGAGAGAGAGAGCGAGAGAGAGAGGTGGGAACGGTGGCCGGATAAACGATCATCGTCGGTTTTTTTTATCGTAAGTTTGTCGACACTAGAAACACACGAATGCAGGGTTGCGATTCAGGTTAACGATTCCACTTGAACATATTCTCAATCTCTTTCCTATCTCTCCATCTCTTTTCGATCTAATGTTCATGGGTTTCGGTGGAGATATGTAGGTGATGGTGGAAAAGTGGTAGTTTCAGGGCAGCAACAGTGGTGGCTTCAGGGCGGCGATAATTGGCTTCAAGGGATTATTGTGGTAATCGTCGGTGGAAGGCAGTGTCCATGAGCAGGTGATGAAGGAAAGAGTGGTAGTTTCAGGGGACGATGGTGGTAGGTTCAGACCGGCGGCGGTCCGGTGAGGATTGAGGTCTAGTGTTTTAGGTTCTTCCAATATTCCAACGAAATGAGAGAACGAGATATATGGGTCGTGGACCTACAAATTTATATCATAGGGATTTATTTTATTTTTTAATAAATAATAAACAAAAAAAATAATAATAACTGAAAAACAAAGGGTAATATGGTCTTTTCATATATATCAGAGACGAAAAACGCAATAAAATCATAATACAAGGACGGTCCGTGTGCAAAAGAAAAATTAGGGACCAAATATACAACTTTAACTAAACCATAGGGACGATTTCAAAAATTTACTCTAATATCTACTACTACGGACACAGTTTGTGGATGGAGGAATATCGGTTCTGAAATTGGGAACCAAAAGAAATACAATAGCAAATCATCTCCTTCTCCACCTTAACCTATTCACGGTTTCCATGACTTCGTGTCACCAATCTATGCGTCTTCTTCTTTTTTTAGTATTTCCTTTTATGTGTCTTTGGGATTATTGATTGTTACTTATGGTAACACAGCTTGCATCACAGATGACGACGCTCCCTCCCTCTACCTCTCTCTCTATCATAATAATTCAATTAGTTAATTTTTTAATCCAACAAAGGTCCGTGTCCGTTCTCCATGGACGTGATTTGTTTGTTTCCTTTTCTTTATTAATGTCTTCTTCTCGGATGTCTCATAGATATTTTTGTATCTTTTATAGGATTCTGATTCAATTGATTGCGCCTAACGGAGGTTTCCTGATTGGTTTTAATCGATTCCGCGTTCAAGGTTGACGACAGACGTATTCTGGTTGGCATTTTCGAGTAAATTTAAATTTATATCTGGCCTTTTTTTAAATAGTGAGTTTATCTTTGGGCGATATTCAACTTTTGAATTTGTGGCCATCATCGGTCCCGTATTCGTTAATCTTGCATCACGGTTAGGGTTTGATTTATACAACTTGGATTGATTTTGATTGGAGTCCCATAAGTGGTGGCTGTTAGAAATCACGATCTGCATAGGTTTGATACGGGGTTACTTGGAATTAGTTGAAGAATTGAGGAATACTAGTAGCATTCTACATCAATAACAGCAAAAGTATAGTTGTGTATGCCATTTAGTCTTTCTCCTTTCGTAGTTCTGGTATAACTGGATTGGGGATTCAAGTTGTTGGGGTTTCTGATAGTGTTTTGCTATATAAAGTTGAATGTGGTCGTGAAGAGAAACAGATGAGAATTTCATCATGAGAGGGATGAGAAAATTGTTTACCCATGGATGCATCAGAGAGACCATTAACTAATCTGATAGGTAACCTCAGATCCTGGATCCCTCGGAGGTCTGAGCCTGCTAATGTGTCGAGGGATTTTTGGATGCCCGATCAGAGTTGCAGGGTATGCTACGAGTGTGATACCCAGTTTACCTTATTCAACCGAAGACACCATTGCAGACTTTGTGGCCGAGTTTTCTGTGCCAAGTGTACTCATAATTGGATCCCTGCTAGACCCAGTACTCAATACATAATCAGGGAAGAATCAGAAAAGATCAGGGCTTGTAATTACTGCTTCAAGCAATGGCAGCAAGGTGGGTTAGCTGGTTCCGTTGATCATGGAATCCAAGATTCCAGTCTTGATCTCAGCACCTCACCATCAGCTGTCAGTCTCATTAGCACCAAATCTAGTGGCACTGTTGACAGTAGCAGCATTGCTTTTACATCTGTGCCACAATCAGTCTGCTCTTATAACCATTACTCTACTGGAGTTACTTCGCACCAATCCGTTGTAATGGAGTCAAATCTAGACGAGCAGAATGAACTAGCAGCAAGGAGCAATGAACTGTTTCTTGATGCGGGAACTCGGTCTCCTAGTGGTGATGACTTTGATGAAGAATTTGCTTATCAGCTAGCTACCAGTGGAGGACATGTTTTGCAGATGGATAATGGCTATTATGACGAATTACAAATGGATGATATGGATACCAACTATGAATCTCATAAAGTCAACCCTGATGCAGAACCTCATGATGTAACAAGTGTTAGCAGTTGTTCCTTACAAACTGCTTTTGATCATACTGTCTCTGAGGCAGTCCAGCTTGAGAAAAAAGAGGATACACATACGCATACACATGCACGTAATGTTAGTGATGACTGTGAAGCTTCTTCATCTTCTTTATACGTTGCACAAGATGTGCCTGAACCTGTAGATTTTGAGAACAATGGAGTCCTGTGGCTACCTCCTGAACCGGAAGACGAAGAAGATGAGAGGGAATCTCTTTTATTTGATGACGATGATGATGATGGAGATGCTGCTGCTGGAGAGTGGGGGAGTTCAAGCAATTTAGGAAGTGGGGAGTGTCGCAATAGGGAGAAGTCAAATGAAGAACACAAGAAATCCATGAAGAATGTAGTTGATGGACACTTCAGGGCTTTAGTATCTCAGTTGTTGCAGGTTGAAAACCTTCTTGCAAGTGAGGAAGATGAGAAAGATAGTTGGTTAGAGATAATAACATCTTTGTCTTGGGAAGCTGCATCTTTGTTAAAGCCAGACACAAGTAAAGGTGGAGGGATGGACCCCGGAGGTTATGTGAAGATTAAATGTTTGGCTTCAGGGCGTCGCACTGACAGGTAAGAACTTTTGTGGTATATAAAGTTTTCATTTTCTGTTCTTACTTTAATATTCAGTTTTCTTTTTCCAGTATTGTGATTAAAGGGGTTGTTTGTAAGAAAAATGTGGCTCATAGACGGATGGCATCAAGAATTGAGAGGCCTCGTTTCTTGATTCTTGGAGGGGCTCTTGAATATCAACGTGTTTCTAACCACCTGTCAAGTTTCGATACTTTGTTACAACAGGTAACAGTAAATCCATGCTAGTTGTACATGGAATGGAACTTTTTATGAATTGGTATTTTATTTAGGAAATGGATCATTTAAAGATGGCTGTGGCAAAGATAGATGCTCACCAGCCTGATGTACTTTTGGTGGAGAAATCAGTATCACGATATGCACAAGATTATCTTCTTGCAAAAAACATATCTCTTGTTTTAAACATCAAAAGACCACTTCTGGAACGAATAGCCCGATGCACAGGTGCTCAAATAGTTCCATCAATCGATCATCTTTCATCTCAGAAGCTGGGATGTGCAGATATGTTTCATGTTGAAAGATTCCTGGAAGAACATGGAAGTGCTGGACAGGGTGGAAAGAAGCTAGTCAAGACACTCATGTACTTTGAAGGCTGTCCAAAACCGTTTGGTTGCACTGTAAGTTATTCTCATTCCCATTAAAACTTAAAAAGATAAAAAAAAAAAAAAGATTAGCTTGTTAAATATTATGTTGTTTATGTTTCAGATATTACTGAGAGGGGCGAGTGGTGATGAGTTAAAGAAAGTGAAGCATGTTGTTCAGTATGGAGTTTTTGCTGCTTATCATTTGGCTTTAGAGACTTCTTTTCTTGCTGACGAAGGCGCCTCACTGCCCGAACTGCCCTTGAATTCTACCCTAACCGTAGCACTTCCTGACAAAGCATCTTGTATCGACAGGTCAATTTCAACAATCCCTGGTTTCACCACCCCTGTGAGTGAGAAACCTCAGGTGAATGTAAATGTAAATCACTCCTACCCTGAGCCACAACAAGTGAACAGTGTCTCCATGTCAGAAATGTTCTCTACCATCATTAACCAAAAATCAGAAGCAAAACAGTTCCCCTTGGAAGGGGTGGTGGACCCCACTGCTTCTAGGGCACTCGGGCCTATAAGTACACATCTTGTTGGAGACTGTTTTGAGCCTCCACAGGCACAAGGTGAGGGTAGTTTATCCCATGCTGCTTCAGATGCATCATCTCTGCAATTGGATGTAAAGAATGGAAAAGAGGATTCCTCTACTTCAAAGGAAGAGTTCCCTCCTTCACCTTCTGATCACCAAAGCATTTTGGTTTCCTTGTCATCCAGATGTGTCTGGAAGGGGACAGTTTGTGAGAGGTCCCACTTATTTCGCATCAAATATTACGGGAACTTTGATAAACCACTTGGACGCTTTCTCAGAGATGACTTGTTTGACCAAGGTTACAGCTGTCGTTCATGTGAGATGCCTGCAGAAGCACATGTGCAGTGTTATACACATAGACAAGGAACCCTAACCATATCTGTGAAGAAGCTGCCCGAATTTTTACTGCCCGGAGAAAAGGAAGGTAAGATTTGGATGTGGCACAGGTGTTTGAGATGCCCCCGGACTAGCGGTTTTCCACCTGCAACTCGTAGAATAGTGATGTCAGATGCTGCTTGGGGTTTATCATTCGGGAAATTCTTGGAGCTCAGTTTCTCAAACCATGCTGCTGCTAGTAGGGTTGCAAGCTGTGGTCATTCTCTACATCGCGATTGTCTACGCTTTTATGGGTACTTTAAAAAAAAAATCTCTATATTCTGTATTGTAATTTGTTGGTTTCATCCTTACTTACATTATATGCAGATTTGGGAAAATGGTTGCTTGCTTTCGTTATGCATCAATTGACGTCCATTCTGTCTTCCTTCCTCCTCATAAACTTGATTTCAAATACGAGAATCAGGAGTGGATTCAACATGAAGTGGATGAGGTTTGATTGTTGTTGTTATACTAGATGAGATTCCACGAGGGTAAATATGTCTTTCTAATTGGAATTTACAAACAGGTTGTGTACCGGTCGGAGCTACTATTTTCAGAAATTTTCAACTCCCTGAGTCGAATGGCAGAAAAGAAAAATGGCCATGGGACAGGGTCGGTTAATGGTGTGACAAGAATCCCACAATTAAAACGACAAATTGCAGATTTGGAAGTTATGTTACGAAAGGAAAAAACAGAGTTTGAGGTCTGTTTTTTCTATTCTTTTTGACAAAATTTGATTTATTTTTTAATCAAATCTATGATATTGTCACAGGAGTCGCTGAAAAAGATTTTACATCACGAGGTGAAAAAGGGACAGCCGATAATTGATATTCTTGAAATCAACAGACTGCGTAGGCAGCTTCTCTTTCAATCTTACATGTGGGACCACCGTCTGGTGTATGCATCAAATGTTGACACCAATAGCCCCCGGTCCAACCTCAATGATTTTGAATCCGAACATGTGGATATTAATAATAATAACAACAATAAAGTTGTGGATTCATGTAATGTTTCGGATGTTGGGGACATTCACAACCATGAAAATGTTGAAGAGGATATGAATCAAAGTCCAACAGAAGGAAACGAGCCAAGTCTATTTTCTGAACCATCCATATCTTCAAATCCAGGTGTGCGTAGAGCCATTTCAGAAGGACAGTTTCCTGTTATGGCAAGTTTATCAGACACTCTAGAAGCTGCCTGGACAGGTAACCTTCAAAAGGATACAGCTTCTGTGTTATCTGATTCAGACTTAACAGAATCTTCACTACTCGAGAAAGGTGTAGAAGATCAAAGCTGTGGGACAAAAACGTCACTTGTATCTCCTGTTTTCTCAAACAAAGGCTCTGAAATGATGGAAGATTCAACGAGTTGGTTGGGTATGCCATTTTTGAACTTCTATCGCTCTTTAAACAAAAACTTCACAACCACTTCCGAAAAACTCGACACCCTCAACGGTTATAATCCCGTGTACATCTCGTCTTTTCGCGAATCAGAACTCCAAGGTGGGGCCCGCTTGCTTTTAGCCGTGGGCGTAAATGACACTGTCATCCCTGTGTATGATGACGAACCCACAAGCATCATATCGTACGCGTTGATTTCCCCTGATTATATCGCGCAAGTGTCTGATGACGATTCCATCTATTCACAATCTGCTGACTCATCGGCATTCCAATCCTTTAGCAACTTCGATGGAATGGCATTGGAATCTTTCAGGAGTTTGGGAGATGATGGGATTCTCTCCATATCCATGTCTGGGTCCCGTGCTTCCCTAATGTCTTCGGATCCCTTATCGCATACAAAGTCTTTGCATACCAGAGTGGAGTTCACAGATGACAGTCCTCTTGGGAAAGTGAAATATGCAGTGACTACTTATTATGCGAAAAGGTTTGAAGCTTTGAGGCGGATATGTTGTCCTTCTGAGATGGATTATATACGGTCTTTAAGCAGGTGTAAAAAGTGGGGTGCACAGGGTGGTAAAAGCAATGTGTTTTTTGCAAAAACATTAGATGATCGGTTCATTATCAAACAAGTTACAAAGACAGAACTCGAATCCTTCATAAAATTCGCTCCTGCTTACTTCAAGTATTTATCCGAATCAATTGGCACTGGAAGTCCTACATGCCTTGCAAAGATTTTAGGCATTTATCAGGTAATTATAGCAACCTACTTTATGTCTTTTAGTATATATTGTGTTTTGTAATGTTGATTTATTATGTGAAGGTGGTGACTAAGCATATGAAAGGAGGGAGAGAAACGAAAATGGATGTGTTGATTATGGAGAATCTTTTATATGGAAGGAATTTAACACGGCTTTATGATTTAAAAGGATCATCAAGATCACGTTATAATCCGGATTGTAATGGAAGCAATAAAGTTTTACTTGATCAGAATTTAATCGAAGCCATGCCAACTTCTCCTATATTTGTTGGAAACAAAGCAAAACGATTGCTTGAAAGAGCTGTCTGGAACGATACAGCTTTTCTTGCTGTAAGTTTTACTCTTTTTTTTTTTTTTTTTTTTTTTATAAACTTTTAGTTAATTGTTTAAACTCTTAGATATGGGTTTTTGAATCTATGATTATTATTACTACAGTCTGTTGATGTTATGGACTATTCTTTGTTGGTTGGGATTGATGAAGAAAAACACGAACTCGTTCTTGGGATTATCGACTTCATGAGACAGTATACGTGGGATAAACATCTAGAAACGTGGGTGAAAGCTTCCGGAATCTTGGGTGGGCCCAAGAATGCCTCCCCAACCGTAATTTCACCAAAACAATATAAGAAAAGATTCAGGAAAGCAATGACAACTTACTTTCTGATGGTCCCTGATCAATGGTCTCCTCCTACTGTTATACGCTCAATATCCCAAACTGATCTATCTCTATCTCTATCTCTATCTCTATCTGAAGAAAACAACACCACCCAAACCCAAACTGGAGATTAATTTTCACTTTTTACCCCTTTTAAATTATATTTTTTGAAATTCATTTGGGGGTGTTATATATTGTTTTATTATTTAACATTCCAAATATAGTTTTTTTCTTTTTGTAAATTACTGTCATATTATTGTTTGTATTCACGTATTAATAATGATCATTATAATAATACCTTTAATTACTTTTTCTCTTTCCGTTTTGGGTGGCCGGGTCATTATCAATATCATATATAAAAATAGAAACAAACAGTCTCACGACCTACGAATGCGACGGTTAATATGTATGTAATTTAGCCCCACATAAGTCTTCTTTATTGGTATGGTTTTCTGCTTTACAAAGAAAAAGAAAGTGCCAAAAAGATAACACACAAGAACTTGAGTAAAGTGACGACTTTTATTTCATGATCGATTCATTATTCACATACACATACACATAAACACAGACACATATATGATATAATTAAGTATATAGAATTATAGATTATACAACCCTGGAGAGGGTAGCAATGGCGTATGGAGGGACGACGATGTGATGGTTTTTTCTCCCTTGATCGTAAATAATAAGTTAGAACTTAGAACTGCTGTGTTTGGCAACCATGGTTAGTTGACTTTACCACCATCTACGACTCGAAGCAGACTTCTATTAAGAAGATCAACGATGTGTTGTTCACCTCTGTTAGAGTTAGATTTCAATAATTCGATCAGAAACTACTGTAAAAATGTGATGTTCAAGAGGATGAGGACAAGATATTACCTTTGATAACAAGAAAATGTTGGAACACCTTGATGACGAGGACCTTCATCGTATCCTTCACATGTTATCTCACCTTTATCATCCAAGTAACATACGATCCCTCTAGATTTGTCTTCAAAAACCTGTTTAAGAAAAAACAAAAAGAGGTTTTGTATAATTTCAACATGAAAAAGAAACAGATAAAAGGAGTGTGATAATGATTGTCATGCCAACCCACCTTTTGTATCTTGATGGATGATCCGACCCGAATGAGAGATGAAGATGAAGATGATGGAGATGAGTCGCTTTTTGCAAGCATTAATACCCGTTTTGATGTTTTCTTGATAGGAGCTGGAGCATGATGAATCAGGAACAACGATGATGATGAAGCGATATTTGCAGCCATCTTGTGATAGATAGTGTGATAATTGAAAGAAAGAGAAAGTTGGAGAGCAAGATTTAAGGAGACAAAAAATGAGTATGTGCTGGGCTTCTGCTATATAATAAAAATATACCAAAAAATATATGTAAAAAAAAATTCTTTAGTTTTTGACTTATTGTGGTTTGCTATGATTAGGGTAGCAGGTTTAAAGGCTTCAATTTTTTTGATTATAACATTAACATACTTTATATTAAGCATCAATATTTGAGTGCTAAATATTCAAACAAAATTGGATATGAAAAAATTTGGAATCAAAGAATTACTAATAAGGTAGAATATATTTAGATAAATGGCATTCCAACTCAAACATAAAATAAAATTATTCAAGTGTGTTGGTTGGTTGATTGAGAGAAAATAAGTTGCATTATTGAGTGAAATAAGTATTACTAGTATTTGTATTTTATTTAGGATGTGGGTGGGGTCATGGCCTTATCTTCACACTGTTGATGTCGACATTTTCTTAATTTAAACATTTGCATTGTGTCGTAATTTCTAACGAGTGGCCCTAAATTAATCCTCTTTTAATAATAAGTCACTTGTTTCTTAACTAATTAATTAAATTCAACTTCGTTAATATA